AATTCTTTTATTGTTTGATAGACTGCTCTGGTATTGTTCTTTTTTGCTTGTTCTTCTAGCTCGGCACCTTTTCTTTCCCAAAAATCTCTCTTCGCTCTTCTCATAGCTTTAATGCATTCTTTGTTTACCTCTCTGTATTCCATGAAACCCGCAAAATAAGGAAATATTTATTCTGTAATCCTTAGAATGTCGTTTTCGTCGAATCGTATCGTTAAATGCCTGATCTATTCAAAAAATGCGTCAATGATTCAAGTCCGACTTAAGTTTTCGGTCTTAACTTTAAGACTACATTTCCCATGACTTAAGTTCTTTTGTGATACGACCCCCAGCACACGTGATAACGCAGTAGATTTTCTGTTTTTGGCAAGGACTACTCCCAATAGTTTAGGAAAAATTTTCAAATAAAATAGCGAAAAAAAATTTCCATGAGAAAATAATATTAGTTTTAAAATTTTCCCTAAACTTTTGGCAGTACCCCTTGCCCAAAATAGAAAATCTACTGGGTTATTGAGCGTGCCAAACACAAAGAGCGCTTTTTCTCGACTCCAAAAGAAATTAATTTTTCTGTCCATGATGTGGTAAAACAGAAAGCTTATCACAGCCACTTTGTCATTATCATCTGTAAGAATGGATTATGGGGACAGTATGTTGAGTAGAGAAAAAATAGGAAAAACAGCCTTTCGGATCGCATTTTTATGTGTTAAACGAAAATGTGAGAATCTAATCCTGTTATATGCAAAACAATTGAGAATACACTTAAAAGAAAAGTTCTGGTCTTTCACTTTTTATGCTTGAAATACGTACGTATGGAATTGTTTATTCTTCTTCTAAGACATTTTGAGAATTTGACTTTTTTTACTTCTAATTTGGGCTCTGTTCTTCATCAGATTTTTCTAGTTGAAGTCAGCATGTTGCGGTATTTATTTTAGATTGTAAATAACATACGACAAGAGTTTCTCGAAAATCATGGTGTCCCAATCAAATATTTGCTTAACGTTATTTAGCGCTGCCATTGCTCTGTTTATTTATGTTGGTATGTACTGTTTATTTCATCATTTTTATAAGCTTAAACATTTTCGTTCTTTTAGGTTTAACTTATATGTTGACAAATCAAGGTTACCGTTTCGATGTTGGATGGTTTTTAATGGCTATATCACCTTATCAATGGGCGTTAACAGGAGTAGCATTAGCGATATCATTGTCAGTTAGCGGAGCAGCGCTGTAAGCAGATTTATGTCATGATCTATTTATTATATAGTACATATATAACACATACATTTGTTTCATTTAGCGGAATATTTGCTACGGGCGTTAGTATACTTGGTGGTGGTGTAAAAGCTCCTCGTATTCGTACCAAAAACTTAATTAGTATTATCATGTGTGAGGCAGTGGCCATTTATGGTCTCATTATGGGAATTGTTATTTCCAATTCAATAGCAGTATGTGGAAGAGGATGGTGGAAAGAAAAACATTACATTCATTTTTCATGCTGTGTTTAGAATTATTCGACCAATGATCCGACTTTAATTGCACACAAATATCGGGCGGGTAAAGAATTTTGGACTAAAAATCATGTCTCTATTAGCGAAATATTTCTTTAGTCAAATTCATTTTATTTCTCTAAAGGTTATAAATTATTTGGAGCTGGATTAACAGTGGGTTTATGTAATTTATTCTGCGGTGTATGTGTTGGTTTAGTTGGCTCGTCAGCTGCTTTAGCTGATGCCCAGAATTCTTCGTTATTTGTTCGAATATTGATTATTGAAATATTTGGAAGCGCAATCGGTCTATTTGGATTAATCGTATCTATTTTACAAGTGAGTAGCTTTTT